TGTGTGTTGCGGGGCACCCTGCCCCAGCTGGCCTCGCCCTGTCCCTGGCTCAGGCCACATTTGCAGCTTGAGAGGGGCAGGGGGGCCGGGCCAGAACCTGTGGCGCCAGTGAGGGGAAACAGTGTCTGGGCCAGCTTCACCTTTGCTGCTTCTGCTTTGCTGCATGGGACTGGAAAGGGCCCTGCCCTGCAGGTAAGCCCAGGAAAGCGGCTGCTGGGCAGGCTTTCCCTGTGCCATACCGTGCTGCTCGGGCTGTGCGGGGTCGGGCTGGGCCCGTGCTGGGGAGGGGAAACAGCAGCTGGGTCGCAGCTCCGACCCAGTCAGCACCAGGAAGGAGGGGCAGTGGTGGAACTATGTGCCACTTGGGACGGGACGGGACGGGACGAGCCCGGCTGGAGTAGCAGGGGTCTCAGCTGCACTTGCCCCCTACCTGTGCTGGTCAGTCCTGAGTGGCACATGGCTCCGCCGGTGCCAACCCAGCCGGGTCCGTCCTATCTGGAGCAGCATGCAGCTGAAGCTGGCTTCCCACGTGCTGCTGGGGTTTATATACACTTACATGTTTGTTCAGTCCTTGTAAAATCTTCCATTTCCTCTAAAACTCCCTCTTGATTACTGGTATTATTTTTCATGCCGTATTTAGTCAGGCATCCATCTACAAACATTTTCTGAAGTTGTTGCCCCAAGGCTAGAATAAAACCAAAGAATCTCTTTTTGTTTGCTGTGCTTGTTCTGCATTCAGTTCCCTTAAGAGTGACTCTGGTTACTCCTAACTCTGAAACCACAATGGGAAACCCAATTAATAAACTCAAATGTGTTGACATTGTGGCTTCCCTCAGGAGGAGAAAATTCTAACTTCCTCTAAGATGCAAGTACCTGACTCTTTTACAAAGAAGCTGTTCTTGATAAATTGTTCGCAGGGAATCAGGATACTGTGCATATTGTGCAATATTTTCTATCTCCTCAAGTTTTTACATTTGGTGGTATTATGTCATTTTCTGTTCTTCAGCACAACCTACATAATTTGTGGTTTAAGATTCAGATTACTTCAACAGCCACTTGGAAAATGGGCTGACTTATTCAGGAAAATGTTGGGATTGGTGGGGATATCTATTAAAAGCACCCATAACATGGTTGGGAATAACTTTTCTGCTGAGTGAGATGGAGAATTTACATAAATATTCTTCCTCCCACATTTGCTGCGGCTTCTTGGTATCTTGTCTCTGCCAATAATGCTGACTGGATTTTTTTTTAAAAGGGCATCTATTCACGGACAAATGCAGTTTGTGCTCCAATTCAAGAAGACGGTTTCAAAATATGAAAACATTTTCAAAACTAAATGGTTCAATGTTTTGGTTTTAGAACACTATTTTATGACTAAATTTAACATAAAAATAAAATTTGAAAAAGATAGTTCTCTGTTATGAGCACTTCAGGTTAAGCAAAACATGTTTATTGTGACCCATAAGAAAATGTTTTTGGTTCAGGAAAGAAAATGTGGCCAGTTTAAGTTAACCCAAAATGAAAGTCACTTCTTTGCTTGGTATTACCTGATAACACTGCAGAGGATTCACACAGGACCTGGTCAAAATATTTTGAACTGAGTATACTTTCACCCAAATGTGCTATTTTATCAAAACAGAGATGTTTTACAGAGACATATTGATTGCAGTAATATTTTTGACAGGATGGTTTATGAGGTCCTGGATGGGCTGACTTTGGTCACTACTGCTGAGAAAAAGAAATCTGAATTGAAAACCTTGACCTTTTCAATCCAACAACAGGGTTTTTAACATGTTCAGATGTTAAAAGTATCATTCTCCTTCCAATTCAGAATGAAAAATGTCAAAATCTCCATTTTTTTTCCACAAAATGTCATTCTCTGTCCAGCTCTGCTGCTTAGTGGCTGTCCCAACCTTGACACAGAAGTAGAGTAGACAAGCCCTGACAAGACCCTGCAACCTTATTCACATCTCTGATTTTTTAAGTGCAAGTTGAGGCATCCAGTCCCACTTCAAAGTTGAACCCAGCATCTCCCCACCTCTAGAATAGCGTTACCTCCTTATTATGCAGGTAAAGCTAAGCAGACAGGCCTTTTGGTTTTTAACTGAGCCCCAATTGTGTGTGGTCTACAGATGACATTTGAGTCTTATAGGCCTGGTTTTCTTTGTGAGCAAAGGGTAAGTTGTGTGTTTTGTCCATACTTGAATGACTCCAAGCAGAAAACAAGGAGCATTTCCAAGACCCGGGTTGTTACAGACCCTCACTGTATAATATATACATTTTTTTTAAAGTCAGGATTATAGAACCATCTGTTACATTTCCAGCCGATTATTAAGGTGCTAAAATTAGAGGCAACAAGGTAGGGGTGGCCTGATCAAAGAGAAATTGAGTTCCACTGTCCTTGCTGTGCTTTTTCTCACTGAAGTCTTGACAAAAAGGTGATAGAACTCAGTCCTATCACACTGTGTATTTTGTCTTTGAGTTAGCTGAACCCGAAGAAAACTCATATCAATAGAAGATATGAAATAAACGTGTTATGGCAATAATAGATAACACCACTATATTTATGTCCTACATGTGGATGCCCATTAATATCAGGCACATTTTTATCTTTAGCTATATTTTTTCTTTGAGAATGATAACTGTATTGGAAACTAATTTCATATGAAATAGTTTGGTTCAAGATATTTTAAGGTGTCAGTGGCACAGAGACTTACACACATGCTCTTCTTTATATACATGTGTAGTCTAATCCAGTGTTTCACAACCTTTTCCAGCCTAAGGCACACTTACATTAATAAAAAATTTCCACGGCACGCCTGTTAAGGCATTCCCCATCCTCGTACCTATTTTAGCGTATTCCCATGGCAAAGTTCCTCAGCACGCCTGTTCATTTGTGATGGCACACTTTTGTGCTGCAGCACACTGGTTGGGAAACACTGGTCCAATCAATAAATTCAGGAAGATCGGCTATGTTCAGTGAGTCTTCTTATGCATTTAACTGTGTGTGTCAGTCTTTGCAGTATTAGAATCGAATTGACTTCAGAGCACATTGATGAGAAAAGTTATTTATACTGAAATTTGCAGTTAAATTTCACCTTGTTTGAATTCCCTGATTGATTATACCTCATTTATGGCTATTTTGATTTCAGATGTTTGTGGCCCTTCTCTTCTGGTACCAGTTCTATTGTGGGTTCTCTGGATCTTCAATGATTGATCAGTGGTATCTGATCTTCTTTAATTTATTATTCTCTTCCCTCCCACAACTGATAACTGGTGTGCTGGATAAAGATGTCCCAGCTGAAGCACTAATTTCTATACCTCAGCTCTACAAGAGTGGTCAAAATATGGAGGTAAACATTTTTTCTTTTAACAGATTATATTTGATGCTGTGAATCTAAGTGAAACTCAGCTTTGTTGGCAAAGGACAGACTGTCATCAAGTACAGCAAAATAGTCTGAGAAGTTGTTGCTGTTGCTTGTTAATATTTCTAAACAAAGTTAGCCAAAATGTCCAATTGCCAAAAATGTTTTTAAGCAAAATACCTTTTTATAATTTGTTTCTTAAAATACATGAATTTCTATTAGTGATTTTTTTTTTCAATTTTACTAAGGACCTATGCAATTATCTAGACACTGTTATGTATTTTAAATATAAGCATAAAAAGTCATAGCAAATATTGTATAATAGAACAGAATGGATTTTTATACAGTAATGTATAAATATATCCCTATGCCCCAACAAAGAACAAGGTGTATAGCTCCTTTCCTCCTTCAGTCTCCATCCTTCAAAAGATAAATTAGAAGTGTTCCCTGAGAGTTAATATATCTCATCTCTGGTGAACCAAGTGGCGAAGTGAGTTGCAAAGTCCAAAATCTGCTATGGAAAACACCTTATCAGCATCTCATTTTTGCTTAAAATACATGGAGAGAACAGAATAGACTCAAACTAAACCATTTCTGTTGATTGCATCTGCAATTGTGTTGTTTGGGAGTGAGGTCGCTTCAGTTCAGTCAGAATAGCAGCAGCAAAAGATGCCATCTAGAGCAGACGCTTTAAAACAACTCCCTTAAAGATAGCTGGGACCTTCTGAAGGGAGAGACTTTAAAAATATGCATTTAGTATATTTAATGCTGAGCTTCTTTTGTTTTATGGAGAATTTAGTTGGGGAACTCTAGTTTTTCTCATTTTCAGTCCTTTTTGCCCATTTATTTGTTTGTTGTTTGTTTTTGGTTTTTTGACCCAGCTGTGGTTGTCTGATTTTATTCTTCAGCAGCTTGGTGTTCTCGTCCAGCACATTCAAATTTAAAGTTCTACAAGATAATGTCTTTCTTTTTTCCCCAATGAATGATGACAAACATGGCTAATTTATTTTTAAGCCCATCTGGAGATTATATCTCATTTTCTTCATTTACAGACCTGTGTGAAGGAAGGATTTGTTTGGCAAAACTGTCAGGAGACTGATGAGAAAACATTCTGAGTTTAAAGCAAAGCCTGTAGTCCATTCTGAGGTTCTTTGGAAATCTCTGAATTTTCATTAGAAAGCTAACTTAGATATTTTCATTAGAAAGCTATCTAAAAAGACATGGAAAGAAAACTTGCTGAAACTTTCCAACTGTAGATAGCCAGGAAGTTCCCACTCTGGGAAGATGTTTCATTCAACCAGTTAACATTGTTCAATTAAAGCAAAAAATACTATAGTTTTATCTCACTCTCCTGAATTTCATTCCTAGATTAAAGTGCTATTCAACTGGAGGGAAAAGAAGCCTAATGAATTAATCAAAGGATGTATTTGTATTACAGGAAATATATAACTAAAATCAAAATATTATTAAAATAAATGTGTATTTTACAAATCAATAATGCACAACATTATTTTCCATAAGTCCAGTTGTTCTACATGATCATGCATGGAAATGTAATATTTATTTATGCCAATGGTTTAGTAAAATTCAGTACTGTTTTTAATGGAATGGTTATGATGTTGATGTGTAAATATTAATTATTATGGATTATTAGATATGGGCCATGGGGCAGAGTATACCCTCTGAAAGAAAACAATCCTCCCAACAGGTGACAATTTATAGGCAGAAAGTTTGTGATTTAAGTCTCAGAATTTCCAACAAATCATTCCATCAGGAGGGAGAAGCTTATTGATGTATGAAGGGGTGAAAATAGTGAGGTTGGTTGTACAAACACTGGGGGAAAATACATTCAAATATCCAAAAATGTCTTGAATAAGTATCTTTATCATTAGGTCATTACTGCATGTTTTTTGTTTCACAGGATTATCAACCACACATGTTTTGGATGAACATGATTGATGCCCTCTATCAAAGCCTAGTTTGCTTTTTCATCCCTTATTTTGTAAGTTACCAGTTTAGACCTTGTTTCAAGAAGTGTGAGGAAAAGACTTAAAAATGCAGACTAGTCTAAATTTGTTTTCCTTCCTTTCAGACTTTCTATGACTCAGATATGGATATTTTTTCCTTGGGAACTCCCATAACCACAATAGCTCTTTTCACCATCATATTGCATTTGGCTGTTGAAACCAAAACTTGGGTAAGGTGTCCAGAGACAAATTATATACAAGTCAGCACAGATATTTTATGCCTGTGTTTAATGTCACTTTTTAAATCTATGAGAAGCATGTTTCATTCTCTCAGCACTTGCTATATTTATCAAATAGTTTAATCAAACATGAAAATGGTTATAAGCTCTGACCTGTAAAAGGACTTATCATTCTGTGAACATTAAAATAATTTATAACATTAATGTGTTTTACGTACTTAGACGTTGTACCTAATATTAAAAATTCATCAAACATGTTGTTTTTTCTAGACCTTTTTCCACTGGTCCTCTTGCATCTTCAGCATTCTTTTATTTTTCTTTGTGGCTCTGGTTTACAATGCATCCTGCCCAACATGTTATCCTCCATCCAATCCCTACTGGACTATGGAAAAATTGATGGGCGATCCTATGTTTTACTTGACATGTATCATATCACCAGTTATTGCATTACTGCCCAGGTATAGTATTTCCCTTTCTATGTGCACACTAGTTATTGCATATTCCTTATATCTATTGTTTGTGTTGGAACTCAAATGATGGTGAAATGATGTGGCTGAGTATAGAAAAATCTCCCACCCACCAAATTATAATTTTTTTTCTTCTATTGACAGCTAGATGAGGTGCATTATTACTTTTATTTGATAATTTGAAGTATCTAGTCAGTCAAATTTTGTGGGTTAGTATTATCACTATTTGTTGCTTATCATCAATCAAATTAACATCAGGATATTTATGGGCTTTCTATCCATCATCCTTTTTCTGATAAATGTAAGGAATAGACTTTGCTATATTAACTGTCATTTTGTTAAAATAATCATGATGCACTTTTCTGAGGATATTTTTTTCGTGATACAATCTTAAGCAGTTCCTGTTTCTTTGCTTTCTGTTGTTTTTTGTGGGATGGATTGTGGTTGGTTGGGGTTGTTGTTGCTGTTTTTTACATACTTAGGTTCTTCTTTGTTCAGATTTCTTTATAGAACTCTTCAAGGGACACTCTTCCCAACCCAACGCCAACTTGGATGTCAGCTGCATAGGTGGCCTCTAGGGACGTGCAACCACATTCTGAGCAAATTGAAGATCAAAAAGAAATCCACCCCCCAGAAACACCCTTTTGCAGAACCATCCATGCAGAATCCTACATCAAATGTTAATCCCTGCTATAAGGTCTCTAATGAAAACATCCCCTCACAAGTATCTGAGCATGGAAGTGAGTCAGCTCTTCCTGCAAGTACAAGGGCAGAACACACAAGAGTACTGGGTGCTGCTGCCTCTCCCCAAGGTCCTCTGTTATTTGGGGAAATTAAACAGTCCTCATTGGCAAGTAATCAAGAAAGATCCTTTGGATTTCATGAAGTTACGTGCAGCACTTCAGAGATGGAGTCAGCATCTGTAGAAGAAATGTTCCCATGGAACTCAACAGTAGACCAATCAGACTTCAGCTTGTTGAAGTGGATCACATCCACTCCACTCTTTAGTCGGTTTGGAAGAGTTTTACAACTGTCATCAAATAGTTTACAAAATGAAACACAGAACAACATATCTGTGCTTGGCTCTGGGTCATCTTTGCATCTGGGTTTCAAAGGTATAACAGAGCAGAATTCGAACAACTTCCAAGAGAAAATTAAAGGGACGCCAGCTGATTGTTGTATAAGTGACACTCTTGAAACCACCTTCTTATGACATGAACTTATATAAATATATATATATAAATATTTGCACAGATTTATAGTGAAATTTCTCTAATTGTTTCCAAAGATGAACCATTAAAATCAAAGGTACAAAAAGTTTATTTTAAAAAAATGTTTCTATACAATATATCAAAATAAGAGCTTTAAATATAAGAAACAGAAACACTTGAAATTTCCATTTATATTTGTTTATTTTTTCATCTAATTTTGTAAGAAAATGCAGTATGTCTTATTTTCCATTGCTTCTCTTGGATTTCAGCAACAATTCTTGACATGATTATAGCTGGCTCAGCAATCAGGGAGAGAAAAACATTATGGTAAACACTATATCGAGGCAGTTTATATCATCTTGCATCTAATTTTTTTTTTTAAATCTCATAATCAGGTTGTGAGAACAAACTCCAAGGCAAGGCTTTGAAAATAAATACTGTTAACATTTACAGAGAGGTGTATTTCACTACCATATAAATAACAGCATTGTTACATCACCATATTTTGATATCTCAGCAATAGCATTTTATTTGTCATGATAATATAATAAATAAATTATTATCTATATTGCAAAGTGATTGTCCAGTCTGGCGTTAATAAGAATTCAATCCTTCTCTGCAATCAGTAAAAATAACTTGCATTTGGTGGGTTACTACAATATGTCAGATCATTCATATTCAAAAGAAGAATTGCTTTGCTTTGTAAAGAGATCACAGGGTGCACTAGTGTTTGTACATTTTAGGTGATTTATAAGTTTGTGGGAGCTGAGGGAGCTCAGCTTGTTTCAGCCTGCTGTGCCAGGCAGCCATAGAAATCAGGCTAATTCCTGAACAACTTAGATACAACTTGCAACAGGGCAGATAGTGGGGCTTTGTTATGGTCTACAACCTCGTTCACTTCTGGTTCAGTAGCTTGAAGACTACCTTTGGCAGCTTTTTTGAGTATGCCATACATATCATATAAATAGTATGCACGGCCTCATGCATAAACAAAAACAGGGCATACTTGTTCAGATTTTCACTTATTTTCCTTTAAGCTCAATGCTTCAGACTCCCTTTGTATTATTTTATATTAGCAGTAGAAACCCGAAGCTTACACTCATCTCATTCTATTTGTGGACAAAAAAGTTTTACCCAAGCTGGCTCCCCTTCCCATTGCCGCAGTGCATTAACCTATAGTATTTACCACAGGGGCAGGCAATTATTTCAGCTGGAGGGCTGCTTAACAAGTTTTGGTGAGCTGTTAAGGTAGCCCCACCCCCCCGACAGTTGCCTCCTTGGGACCAGAAGTCCTCTAAACCCTGACCTTTGCCACCAGTAATCTATCCCCTTGTCCTGGAAGTACTCCTTTTGGGTGGGGGGGCGGGGTTGCCATTTTAAAACTGGGGAAAAAACCATACTAAAAAAATCACACATCTACTGTAACTTAGTTTAATTTTATTTTTAAAATATTTTTCTACTGATTTAGGTGTATTTGTGTAGTGTATCTAGAGGTGATTCCATAATAGCTCAAAATATAATCTTACTCTTGTATATTGTGTGTGGGGAGAGTTAAGATTAGATGATCTGCCCAGGTCCCTTCCGACCCTAGAAACTATGAAACGAAGAGGGTGTATGTGGGAGCTGTGCAGTTGGGGAGTGGGTATGGTGAGTAGGATGTGTAGGGGTGGGTGTGGAGAGGTATGGGGTGTGGGGGGGTGTGGGTGTGGTAGGAAGGGGAGGGTGTTGGATAAGGGTATGGGAGTGTGAGGGGGGGGGGCTGTGGGTATGTGCTGGGAGTCTGGTGGGAGATGGGGAGCCAGCTCCAGCCATCCCATCTCAGCTACAGTGCACAGTTCCTGGCTGCAAGGCTGGGACCCCTGTGGCATGCCACAGATCTGACCTGACCTGGCCTGGCTCCTCCATACCACATTGCGAGGTCCTGGCCTTGCAATGGGGAACCATGCACTGCAGCCAGGATGAGCCAGACCAGGCTGAAGGATCCCAGCCTTGCAACTAGGAACCACATAGTGCAGCCCAGAGCCAGTCCAGCCCAGCCCAGCCCAGCCCATCCTGGCAGCACACGGTTTCACGCTGCAAGGTCAGAACCCACGCAGTGCGACGTGGAGGGGACAGGCCAGACCGGGCTGGCCCCATGCAATGCTGTGCAGTCCTCAGCCTTGCAGCTAGAACCTCATTGTGCCAGGCCGGGCTCTGCACTGGCCAGGGACAGCGAGGCTGTTGTACTTCCCTCTCCTCCAGCTGCTGCTGCTGCTGCTCCCGCT